AATCAGTGACTGAGATGAAGTCGTAACAAGGTAGCCGCAAGGGAACCTGTGGCTGGATCTGAGGCTGATAAAGTCCAGACAGACTATGCCCTAAGTTGGCCACATTTCCATTTACTACTGTTGTTTAAGTTCCACCTTTGCATGGGTACTTTGTCTCTCTCCCCTATATCCTAGACTCTCATGGTAGAAATCAGTGACTGAGATGAAGTCGTAACAAGGTAGCCGCAAGGGAACCTGTTTCTTAATTGATTCAACAGTGTCAAAGAAAAGTACCTACCACGCTTCGCACCTACGGGCGGAAGGGAAGTGTATCATTGTTGTTTAAATCCTTGGTAACCTGTCAACATTTCATTTTCCTTGAACATTTCCATTTCCCTTGGTTAGCCTGTTAGCATTTCCAATTTCCTCACCAGTGGCACATTGTGCTGATGACAAGGCATTCGTTGGTCCAGAGTTACAATGACAGTGGAAATAGAGAAGGAGATAGGGAAGGCTGCATGCCAGAGGACATGTCAAAACCTTGAACTCTGAAACTGGCAACCACATACCTCAAGGTGCATGCATGAACACCCCAAAGGTGATTTCTCAAGGGGGAGGGGGGGGCGAGGGGTTCGAAGCACTCATACTTGGTGGTTTTGTGCTGCGGGGTGTTGGGAATCGTGGAAGTCTGTGCCTTGGGGCTGAAAGGGGGAAAAAACAAAGGCTTGTGGCATGTGGAGGTGTATTTGGGGGATGGGATCCTGGCCATATGTCTTTTGTGTGAGGGAGGGTATTGAGGTCCTTGGGGAGACATTGTTGCACTTGTTTTTGTGGATCAGCTGTGAACATCTCTGTCTCATGTTGATGGAGAGGTGCTGGAAGGCTGCACTGGTTTGGGGTTGACCTGGGTGCAGGGTGTGTGTGTTCTTGAAGACTCTGATGGCTTTCCCCCTCGATTTTTCACCTTCTTCCCATATGAGGAGGAGGGTGGGGGCAGTGGAGGGAGGGCTGGGCGGAGGGCACCGGTACATGCCTTATGCGAACATGCACTTTCCAGGATGCAGTGATCTTGGTATGGAAGTTCAACGCCGGACTTGGGGTTTTTGAAAATGTAGCTTCCTTCCGAGGGCATGAAGGCCAGGTTGTTGCGCTGCAAGTGGCGGGCGAGAGACTTTATTCTGGATCTGTTGACAACACGATAAAGGTGCGAAAATCTCCTCGTGTACCTACGGGTGCATCAAATTCTACTTTGTCATAAACATCGTAGGGTGCTGCTTTTCGCAAATCCCAGGAAACCCCTGAACCTCTTAACATTACACCACTAAATCCCCAATCCATAGCCTGTTGTGCAGTAACAGTACCAATATCTACAAGTCGTTGTTTCCAAATACGATTGTTTGTTAACATTTCTTCTACTTCGTCTATACGAGAAGCAAATTGCTGCCTCGTTTTTTTTCGTATTCCGTTTGGACTCTTGCTTATGGCTGTTTGTTTGCTTATGTCCATTCGTTTATATGATGTTTGGCTAGAAACATGCTTCAGCTCTATGCTCAGGGAAATCAATGCCCAATGCTGTTCTTCTCATTCGAGTATCATCAGGCTCTCGTCCATTGTTGAATTCGAGACGTRAAAGAAGAATAAAACCGCCAGTCTGCCACGGGCCTTGTGACCCTGCAGTTGTTACAATGACCGGCTTTGGCAATTTTTTAATGCCATCAGCTTTGATAAACTACTCTGAAGAAACTGAGGGATGTAGGGTAAATTACTAAATTCCCCTTTCTTAGTCAACATTTTATTAGGAATAAACCAAAAGCCTGCCAAATCAAATGGCAGCAAAGTGAATGCACGTAGTTGCTCCTCCCCCGGTGTGACCTGGTAAGCCTGACCATTGAGGCGCGGAAGGTTGTAGTAGGTGTGAAATAGGCTTGGCCAAAGTGGTGGTTCAAGACAGAGGGCTTGCACGAAAGAAATGGAGTGGCGCGAGAGACAGACGGATGGACAGGTAGGGCCATGGATTGGGACGCTTGACAGAAGAGGGGAGGTGGGGTGGAAGTGGATGGATGAGATGGATGGATTGATATGCAGACGAGGGTATGTATCGCAAATGGTCAAGTGAGGGGAGCGCTGATGGAATGGGGAGAGAGGAGGGATGGGCTGTGATAAATCGAGGTGATGGGGTGACGAGAGATGAGCGAATGAATAAATGGATAGAATAATGTGGATGCATGGAGGGGATGTGACTGGTGTAGAGATGGGGTGGATCTGGGAGGGGGGTGAGTGGATGGGATGGGATGGACAGATTGGTGGGTAGGCAAATGGATAGCCCAACGGACAGGAGGAAGGGGCCGGTTGGTAGAATGGGTTGACGGTATGGATAGGGGGGATTCACTGTGATGGATGCAAGGGAGTGTGTCACGTAAGATGTGCGGACGGATGGAATGTGCTCGGTGGTATGGGAGGGGTAGGATGGATGTAGAGTTGGGGTGGGTATTGGGCGTGAGATGGATGGCCGAGAGGGATTGGCAGATGAATCGGATGAGAGGGATGGTTGGGTGGGGATGGATGGATGGATGGAGCGGGCGACATAGTATGGAAGGGAAGGAATGTGGTGGGACGGAACTGGATCTGGTGAGACTGCAGCAGAAGGCATCCAAAGATGGGTGGGATGGATAGATGGAGTTTTTTGTTCTTCTGCTACCTGTTCCTTGGAAGTTGTAGCTTGTATAACATTGAGTGAGCCCCCGAGTGTCTGGATGATCTATCAGGCTGACTTGCGGGTGTTGGGTCTGTGACGGTTGATATATGTGGTTAGATTATGTTGTTGATTTAACGATGCAAGCTGTCCCTACATGAGAGAATAATCAGTGATCAGTATTGTGTGCTGTCCACGAATGCAGAGTGTCTGGATGATCTATCGGGCTGACTTGCAGGTGTTGGGTTTGTGACGGTTCGTATCTGTGGTTACCTAGATTACATTGTCGAGTTAATGATGCAAGCTGTCCCTATATGAGAGAATGATCAGTATTCCGTATTGTGTGCTCTCAACGAATGCAGATCGTCTGGATGATCTTGCAGGTGATGGGTTTGTGTATCTGTGGTTACTTAGATTGTGTTGTTGAGTTAACAATGCCAGCTGTCGTTATATGAGAGAATGATCGGTGATCAGTTTTGTGTGTGAATGCAGGTATGGGATCTGAAGACGGGTCTATGCACGCAAACCCTTGGGGGTCACAAGGCAGCAGTGCTGGGACTCCTTTGCTGGCAGCAGTATCTCCTCAGCTGTTCCCTTGATGGGAGTATCAAGGTGCGCTCTGAATTTCCTGGATCTGTTGCACTGCGTGTAAGGTGACCTGTGTCTGCTTTACTGGCAAGGGACGGCGCAAAGGTGTTCTTGTGTCTGCTTTACTGGGGAGGAACAGGCATGAAGGTGTCCTTGCAATTGGGTGCAAGAAGCAGAGGCAGCTGTCAGGTAGAGACGGAGAGGCAGAGACTGTTGTTTATGCTCATCCTCAACATTATTGTTATGGTCATGGTGATCATTGTCATTGGCATCATGACCATCAGCAGAATTCCTCCTCTTCATTCACTTGTAAAATTTGAACCATCAAATCTAAAACATGGAAAAAAATACATCTCTGTCAGGCACCTTTCTGATCACTCTTTCCAGCTATTACCCCCCTTATGTGCACTTTCTACGACGATAACAAATCTGTTTCCGCAGGGAGGTTAAAGTTCCGTTAAACCGTAAAAGACAAACCTCTTCATCCAAGAAAGAAAAGAAAAGAAAAGAAAAAAAATTTTCATCCTCCTTACTTCGAGTCTGTCCCCGAGAGTACTCATCCTCCCGTCTACAGTATCTCGAAGGCTTTTTTTCATGTTTTGCACATAAAGCGCACAGATGGTTCAGTGACTGCCATACGCAAATGCAGAATGCTGCTGCTCCTCTGCGCACGCACCATGGTTCAGTGAGCAGCATAGCACCGACAGGACGCGGTGCAGCTGAAGAATGAATCACCCAGCACAAAAAGAAATAGATGTATGTTGCACTCCAGCAGTCTGGTGTCTCCACATCTGTATCCGGTGCCAAGGCCAAAGGCGACAGGAATTCCCGTGGGGGGTGGTAAGATGTTTGATTTGATGGCCCACCGCTATCTATGCATGGCCTTCTGGGATCCCAAGAACATGAATTGCAGTGGCAGTTCAAGTAAGCAAGCAGAATCCCACAATATGTAGCAGATGGGCCAGTAGCAACCTTCAGATTCTTCCGAGAGCAGTGGAATCGAACTTCGCCGTACTTGTGGAGAACCAATGGAAGGCTTCCACGGGATTGTTGACGTAGACTTGTTGGCCCACGGCTTGGTCTGGACTCGGGGTATGTCGGTTTTCGAGGTAATGGCTTTGGCGAGACAGCAAGCTGAAGCTATAAAGACTTTGTTATCAGGTTTCTAAATTTATAACTGTGAATCTGTTAACGTGTTTGAATTTTTCATCAGGTTTCTAAGTATAGAACTTGGCATCTGTTGTTATGTTTGTGAATATAGCTCAGGGTCTGTCTATTCTCCAGGTATTGGCTGGGGAAAAAGCAAGTCCAAAATCAGAACTTGTTTTCATGTTTCTAAATATAGAATTCAGAATATGTATTGTGTTTGAATCGGTTATCATGTTTGTAAATATAGAAAGCATCGGTTGCTATATTTCTATCTATAGCGCTGTGCTTCTGAACTACTTTGTTGAGATTTTTTTATTTTAATTTTGTTTTTGGTTGACTTTATTCCGTTTTTGGTTCCTATCGTTATGCCTTCTTTCCATTGTTGCGTCATGTCTTTTATCATTGGTTGCTCTCATTTGTACCTTTGTGGTCGCTAAATGGTGCGCTCTTATGTAAAGGGGATAATAGTCAGGTCCTGAGTCTAGATGCTTTTACGTACAACCAATACTTGAGAGATATATCCCATTTCAAAGACGTTCATCCTTTTCCTGTTGTGTGGTGCTGTTCGAGCAGGTCTGGGGTGCCTCTTCAACCGGCGCTTTGGAACTGACGTTTAGTCATCCTGAAGAAGATTTTGCGACGAACACAGCTGACCGAGAGGTATGCATGTTTTATCGGATGTGGGAGAAAAAGGGGAAACACAGATGCAGCTATTATCACTGCAGTGAGGAGTCCGTGATCGAATGATGATTGTCTTCCTCCTGTACTGACCGTGTGATGATAGCCTGCTTCATGGATGGTGATGATAGCCTCTGCTTCATGTCCGTGAAACTCAAAAGCACAGGGCTTGCATGCCACATCTTGGCACTTCTGGGTTGCCTCTACTGCGAACCTTCTTTTATGTGGTTTCTTGTGTGTATGGAGCAGTTCATGTGATGTGTCCAGCCCCTAGAGCATGAACTCAATCCTCTGAAATGTGAGGATCGACTTCTGACTTCCATTGTGCTTGCAGATCTCTCACCTCTCTTTCCTGCTTACTCACACACACAAACACATGGCCTCTCTGTAATCCTCTCCTATTTGTTCGGTGGTTCAGCATGCAGCTCCTTTGTAACTAGTCCATGGTTTGTAAGCACAAGTCGTTGGCTGATAAATCCACGAGCATTTGTGTGATTAAGCGACAGTGAGAATTTGAATTTGATCGCAGAAACTTGTGGAGGGGTTCTTCCGTGTGTTGCGTAGACCAATCAACTGCTGGGTGGTGGGCTTTCCTAAAGCTGCTGATGGGATTTGTATTCACCAACATGATCGTAGTCCTCAACTCATTGATTACCATTTTACGATTGTCTGACGCATCTTTCTTGCCTCAAAATGCATGCATGTTGATCTGGCGTTGGTATTCATTTGAGGTTTGTGTTTCGACTCGAATGCTTTCCACTATTTTCCAACTCCAGTGCAGCTTTCTTTTTTTTTTTTTTCAGTTCCACCGTTTTCCGTTACGGTTCAGAAACTGCTTTCAGTTAGTTTTTTTACTATTTTACTATTTTTAGTCAATTATTTTTCTTTCCACAAACTGCTCTTCATTTGCTAGGGCCAGGCCAGTATGAACTACTACAGAGATTAGTGTCATCTGTCTGTGTAATTGAGCCTTCTGGCTCATCTGCTGCATTCTTGTGGAAGGGACTTTTCACTGTTTTCAGTTATTAAGTTGTACAGTATGTGAATCGTCGATTGAGGAGAGGTACAAGCTGGGGAGTACTACTACTGAATGCAAGGTAGGATAAACAGGGTACTGAGAGCTTGGGAAGGGCGGCCTGCCCGAGGGAGCTAAATCCGAGAGGAAGTATTGGAGGGCAACAGGGAAAAGACCGGGAAAAGACTGGGAGTAATATTAGGAAGACTCCATATGTAGAAAGAAGAAGACTAGTACTAGTGGCGTTTGGTGCTTCTCGCCGAAGTTCTTGGTATTTAAAAAAAAAAAAAAAAAAAAAAAAAAAAAAGAGGAGAGGGACATCTCTGAGGTTTGCAGCATCAGGGGAAGTTGAAAGCCATTTTGGGATAGAGTTAAATTTGTTAACAGAGCTCTAGCAGCAAGCCGTGAAAGAATGCTTTGTAATGGGATAAAGGCTGCTGAGAAATGTGGGGATGTTTCCCTTGGCAAATGCGAAGCCACATCTATTACCTGATGGACAACAATCCGTCGCAGGCGGTATCTAGGGTTTACGTCTTCGATAGCTGGGGAATTGAACTCGGACATTCGCCAAGGATGAAAATAGTTTAGGTATGCAGTGGTCAGGGATGAGGTAGCAAAATTGGATGAGAACAGATCGTATGGAAGGTTGTCTCCATTCACACCCTTTTGCTCATGTCTTCTCTATTTTTCCTTTTGGAATGCTTGCTCTGAATTTGCAGGGTGCTCTTGCAATGTGCGGTACAATGGACACTGCAAATAGACCAGTGCTGCTGTGCTCCTACAACGATAACACAGTTCGGTTATATGATCTGCCATCGTACGTGCTTCTCTCTCATCCCTTGCTCTTTTTCCCTGCTTGATTCTGACTGTGAAAGGGTGTGTGTGAGTGTGTGTGTGTGTGTGTGGAGAGAGAGAGAGAGAGAGAGAGAGAGAGAGAGAGAGAGAGAGAGAGAGAGAGAGAGAGAGAGAGAGAGAGAGGAGCTGGTTAGCAAGCATCTGTGAGAGTTGGTGAATAGTTCACTTCCGAGGGTTACATCGTCTTTGCTTGGCGGCGTCCCCCCCGACCCCAACCATGTGGCCAACTCCATTCATCTTCCTGTCACAGAAGCTCTTTTGAACTTCATAATTTTGTATGATCTTTCCTCTAGGGCTAGATTGCCGCATCTTTTTGAATAACAATAGAAGTCAGAAGATGTGCTCCCTACATTATGGAATTGCGCCGGGGTCGTATTTCCAGACAATGACCATCTCGGAGTCTATCTCGTCTACCTTCTCTCGTGCATGAGACTGGGATTGTTGAAGTGTGGGCGGTAATGACAAAATTGCCCAAGTGATCCGTCATTTCATGATGAGGGCTGAGCTACACTGCTCGTGGGCTGCGACCAGACAGGGAGGAGGCCCTATGGAAAAATCCAGTAGGGCCTGCCAGGTGAAACCTGGCTTGAAATTCCCTACAAGGTGGTAAATCCGGCAGGGCCTACAGTCTCACCCTGGTCGTTAGAGGTTCCTGACAGGCGCAAGAAAGCCCACCCAACTCAATCGGGGGGCAAAACTTGAGCTACCCCATCACAGAATCAGATGGCTGAAGTTTTCCACACGAGGAAAGAGCTGCTGAGGTGCAATGCTTGTCAGTGCCTGAATCTGGTGCACTCTAGTGCTACGAGTGCACCAGATTCAGGCACTGACAAGCATTGCACCTGTATTTGGCATATTAGACGGCCCCACATGCAGGTGCAAAATGTCAGTTGTGAGGGGGAAAAGGTTTTGAAATGGTAAGGCCAGTTGCCCGATCGTGGAATCGAATCGCATCGATGTTGCAGTGGCTGTTATCTCTGGAGACAGCCGTGTGTGTGCACAGGCGAGGGGTGAACCCCCATGCTGCCTCCCGGACCAATAGAATGAGGCAGACAAAGCTCCTCTCAGCTGACCGAGGTTTGTTAGTTGGTGCGCCTGGAATCCAATTTTGTGAGTGCGAGATCTTTTTTTTTTTTTTTTTTTTGGTAGAATATTTATCAGTTTATTGAACTTTATTCATAATAAAAGTGCGAGATCTTTGTCTCCCACCTGCCTGCCATTGATGACTGGAGCTTTTGCAGCCTCATCTGGAAGACTCTATGGTAATTAATGTATGAGCCCAAAAATATCACATGCGGTATTTAGATGCCAGTCTCATTTGTTTTTAAAGTTGCATGTATTCTGAGTTTCCCTGACTGCTGCTGGCTTTGTCTTTGATTGGAATGCGCTGTTTGATGGTATTGTGTAAGATGCTGGGAGCTGTTGTGTCCAGAAGCTTCTATCATCTGTTTTTCTTTTTCAACTCCCTGACCGCCTCGATCGCCTCTACTTCTCTTGTTGATTCTCTCGCAGTGCCTGTGTCAGAATGCACCTCGACATGTCCTTCGGGATGTCCGTAAAAAAAAATTGGCAAGATACATGTGGTCCCTGCACAAGGATGGCATACATAAGTTGGAATTGGTCTAGGAAAAACGAAAGAATTTATCTCGACGACCGGACACTGATGCGCATTGCGCATGGTTTGTTGAAGTATTTTCGGCCTGGTTCCTTGCAAAATATGCTCTTGAACGTTCTCCACCGCTCCCCGGCAGAATTTTGCACTGAACTTGTCCACCACCGCTTTCTTCCGATACACACTGCAGTGCTACCTGACCAAAATGGCTAGCGGTGCCAGCCAGAAAGGAAATGAAAGCGCACCGCTGGTGGTCCATTTGTTTGCGCTGCACAGCGGAAATCTGCCTTGGGAAAAAGAGGCTTGTATTTACCGTGTCTCCTAATGTGCATCTTATTTTGCTCTGAAGATCTCTCTGCTGTATTTGGTGCCTGTCACTTTAAAACTGTTTCTGAGGCCAACGAGCGAAGTTGTTTTGTCGAAAGAAGTGGTTTGTTGAAGAATAGGTGAAATCCTATTATTGCCAGCCCCGCTTTGACTGAGTCGATTCTCTGCCTCTTTTGGTGTGTTTTTTTTTCACTTCACAGGTTCACGGAGAGGGGCGCTCTTTTCTCGAAAGAAGAGGTACGAGCCCTCGCAGTGGGTCCTGGAGGACTTATTTTCACTGGCGACAGCTGTGGTGTTGTGAAGGTTTGGCGATGGAAGTGAACAATTTTGTCCCTGGTGTTGGCAATGAACAACTGATCGGTGGCCATTTGTCGTCGTTGCTGATCAAGCTGCACAATTGGTGGTTGGCGATGCAAATTAATGTCCCAAAATTCTGCGACTGGAGCGGCTTATGATGGTGTTGGAAATGAATGTAGTTCCCAAGCATGGGAATGTGAGAGTTATCGTCATTCCTTCCACGATAAAGGAGCCAAGGAGATTGGTGGTCCCCGCGAGAGGCTTCAGTGCTTTGTCATGTAGCAGTACGCCTATCTGGCTAAACCCCTGCTTTCTTTCTCTTTCGTCTTCGGCCTTGTGCCTACGCTCTTGCTGTTTCTTTCCTCTTCGTTGTCTGTCCGATTTTCTGTCGTCTGGAATTTCCATCCATGCTTGTCCTTCGATGACTGTGTACACACGTGTTCTGGTTGTCAACCAAATCAACTGAGTTTGTTTTCAGGCGTGTATTGATTGGAGGGGATTATTGCTTCCACTTTGCGTTTCACGGACGCGAGCCTGGGTTTACTAGATTCACCAGTGCAGCCATTGTTCTTTTGGCGTCGTGAACTTTGGTTATCCTATTTTCTCTCACCTTTATCAATGACACGGCACTTGTCTTTGCATTTCCAGGCGTCGAGGACATTTCTTGTGCGCTATTTTTTCCCTTACTGACAGACCATTGGTGTATTGGTAGTGTCTACTGCCTTGTCTTCTTTGACAATATCAGCATTGTGTAGATTTTTCAGCTTAACTTTGCTGTATTCCTCTTCCTTTTGCACATGATCGGTCTTGCAGTGATTGTGATCTTGTGTTGGTGCTCTTGTGTGTGTGTGGGCGGGAGGCGGGGGGGGAGGGTGGAAGTGGGTGATAGCCAGTAAGTGTGTGTGTGCATGTGTATGGTGTGTGTGTGCGTGTGTGTGTGTGTGTGTGTGTGTGTGTGTGTGTGTGTGTGTGTGTGTGCAAGGAAGTCGCTGAATGTGTGGGTGTGAAGGGTGGAAGTGGATGATAACCAGCAAGTGTGTTTGTGTGTGTGTGTGTGTGTGTAAGCAAGGAAGTTGTTGAATGTGTTGATGTGTCCACTTCCATGAGATCAGATCAAGGCAGTATGTTCCACTCGCAAGCGGGTGATAGCCAGTAAGTGTGTTTGTGCGTGTGCTTGTGTGTGTGTGTGTGTGTGTGTGTGTGTGTGTGTGTGTGTGTAAGCAAGGAAGTCGTTGAGTGTGTGGGTGTGTCCACTTCCATGAGATCAGATCAAGGCAGTATGTTCCACTCGCATGAGGTCACCTTACGTCTGTGAAGTTGCGTAAACAGGGTTTTTATCAGGGAAATTGTTTCCAACTTAAATCAGAGTCTTTTATTGTTTCTTGAGGTGTTCTTCACATGGCAGTAGCCATTCTCTGTGGTGTAAGGGACAGGGGAGAATCGTCAAAGACGTTGGCAGTAGTTTCAAGGGTTTGTTCCTCCTGAACGGAATCGATTTTTCTCACCATAGAGAACTGCGGCTTTGTGTGCCGACTGAAGCTTTGTGTGCCGACATGTTCTTGGGCTGATGTCGTTAGAGATTCAGGAATCTATGCGAGCCGGCACACGGCAGGATGCAAGATTGGGACACATGGGTTCCAGTGGCAGGTTTTTGCTAAGAAGGCATGTGTTTACCGTTGCACATATGTACGCTTAATTTACGCGATAGGCTTCCGATCGGGAGGTTGGCGGAGGGTGATAACTGCGAAGAACGAGAAAGCGAGTAGGGAAACTCCTGCTTTTGGGCTTGCAATTAAGGGCAGTGCTGTACTTTGCCTAAGGATTCTAAACGGTGGTCTTGCTTGGTTTCTCCTTCTGAAGACCACCCCAGTAAACAAGATAGAGGAAGGGATAGGCCATACCTTAAATTCATACATACTCTCAATCAATGGTGGCGACTCTAAGAGAGGGTCATTGGAGCCAGACTCGTCTCACTGACTGTGTGCAACATCTCATGATGTATGTGAGACGTGTTTGCCCGTGACTGTGATGTTGCCCTGAGTGTGGTGCGTCCGTATTACAGTTGCGACGATGGCAAATCATCTGCAGGGATGCGTGTATTTAGCAGTAGACAGTAGGATGGATATATGCTTGCAAGGAGGAATGGATGATTCCACTGTCCATTGAGATTACTATAGCTGCGGTGAGACTGCTGCGGAGCCGAGCAGGGCATTCTGAATGGTGGCTGCATTTGCTCTTGGTGCAGGTAACCTAACCTATCAGTCCTGGTTGTTTGTCCTGAACAAGTAAATCAGGAAGTACGGAGTGTTTGGACGCATGCAATCCACTGCGAGACCACTGGAAGGTTCTACTGCGGCCCTGTGGTACAAAGAGAAATGGGACACTGGACTCGGGGTACTCGGGCCGTGCTGCAGCAGCGCATGAATCCTTTCGCTCCCCCTGTCACAAATCCGCCGGGTGTGTAGCTGCAAAAGAAGAGAGCTAGGTAAGGAACCTTTTTTGTCTTATCTTCATGGACAAGTAAGTGGGCAATTCGTGGCTGGGCTCTGATGATTGTTAAGGTTTACGCGATGGTGTTGACAGGGTTTGTGTGTCATCCATGAGAGGAGTGCCAATCAAGGCATCCATTCTTTGGCTTTTGCCCGTGGCAAGAAACTCGGTGAGTTCAAATGTTGGGAACGTAGGATGCCTAAGATGCTTAGACCGAAGGTAATCTGTTGCGCATGTATCAATAGCATTCTTCTGGTGCTATTGCAAATTGAGTGTGGAAAAGGCTTAGACGAGTGTGGAAAAGGCTTAGAAGAGTGTGGAAAAGGCTTAGAAGAGTGTGGAAAAGGCTTACAAGAGCTTGAAACGTAGGAATCCCCTCTTCGTGTCCCGTTGTTAGTCAGTGTCTGGTGCCGCGCAACTGCTCTTCCACGGAGCATTGCTTGCTTGCACTGCCAATGATGAGTGGAAAGTCTGCGGTGCATGGATGCCTCCATCTGTCATTTACGTTTCCAAACCGGGATGGCTCTGGAATGCGTTGACGCTCTTATCTTCTTGTGCTGCTTTCTGCACAGCAATCTTCCTTCTTTTAGCTAGGGGGTGTAATAGAAAAGTTTGCGAGAGGTGTCATACATCAGCTTGTGACTGAAGAGGTGCGGGGAAAACAGCATTGTCCCCATGTAAAGGGTCGATGCCGCTGGCTTATTCCCACACAAGTCGCAAGCTGTGGCATAAACGACATGGGGCCAGGATGAGCTTGCGGCCAAGGAAAGGTGTTCGATGGCACATGAGCATCTTCTTCACGTAAATGGACAAGAGTTGACGTACAAAATCAACATTCCGTCTCATTCGTGGATTGAAGATGCAAGCAAGGCCAGGAACCAATCCATGATATAAATGTTGTGAAACGGCAGCAAGACATGGATATGGAGAGCTGTTCTGTGGAGCACAAGCATGTCTAGCAAAGGAAGAACAAGCCGTGCTGTGCTGGACCTTTTGCCTGTGCAAGGGGGTACAAAGGCCTCTGCAGAATGGGGACAGCTGGGACAGGGGTTCAGCACAATTCATCCTGTGCTGGGCCTGTTGCATGTGCTGTCGGACAATTCGTCAGATGAATTGCGTGAAGCTAACAAGGGCAAGACCAGCTGGGGACAGGTGTTCAGGTCCTCTTGCCTGTGCAAGGGCGGAGGAAGACCTCCACAACATGGGGAGGACTTTAGGTAGGGATGTTATTAGAGCATTGAAGCTGGGATCCTATGTGCTGGTGAGAGTCAGTAGGCGTGTGTTTGGGCACGGCGGACACACGTGCGAGTGTGTGTGTGTATTTGTGTACGAAACTCGTTCCAGGAATATGAGATAATAATCCCACTAGAGAGTTGTCCTTTGGTGTTATTTATCGTATTGCCATTTGTTTTAGCTCGCATCTAGAGGGGTATGGAAGTGCCTATTCATGGCGTTGTAACCTGCAAAAGAAAGGGCTTTTGCATGTTGGAGAAAGGACATCGAGAGTATCGAGAATACTTTCACTGCGGGAGCGTCTGGGCTAATGACGAAAGGGGTTGTTTGATGGGTAGACACTTGCTGTTCGTATATTCTTCACATTTGTTTTGGAGTGTTTCGCTAGGAGTTTCTGAAGGCCCATACGTCTGCTTCTGGTGCGAATGAGCGAAACCTCATGACCGGTAGATTTAGAAGAGGAACTGAATGTGGGTAGGAAGTAGGGAGTTGTAGATAAGATTATTTTTGCAGTGTTTCAAGAAATGTTTAAAGGAGTTCTCAGAGTTTCAAGAGTTCTTTGGGAGTTACGTCCTTACTGTACAATGCGCGTCGCCTTTTTTCTAAGGTTAGTACGTTACTCGATGGATGTCATGTTGCACTCCTGGCTCATATGTCCTATATCTACCTTGT